AGCAGATTGAGTTGAAAATTGACAGACAATTTTTAGTGGCCATGTTCACCACAATAAAGGAACTTATCAGCCTGTGCAACAGAGACATTCTTGATTTAGATTTGAGTTGTTTGTGTTTACACACCTAGAAACTTCATCACAGTGTCCAGAAAATAAATGTTTTCTCCTTTTTGAGAGTGTTGTGTTCTGTGTCCTCTCTCCAGAACATTCAGAAGATGCTCGGCCTCGCGCCCTCCAGAGCTGCAACCAAACAGGCCGGAGGCTTCCTGGGACCCCCCCCACAAGCAGCCAAGTTCTCCTAACCATCAGACGGGTCTCACGGTGTGGCTCCTGGAGACACGGCTCCCTCCTCAGATCACAGAGCACAAGACAAACGGATTCTCGGTTGCAGCTACTGTTTCTCTGCCTTCTGTTGGATTCCTCATCCATGTTTTGTTTATTTAACTTTAACATAGTCTTACTTAGAAAATTTGTTCTTAATGATTACCAAAGGATACAAAAGTCTACCTTGTATTCAGCTCATGCCATACATTGTTTGGACATTTTAATGATTAATTGGCACTGTAACATCTGATCCATTTATCAGTATTATTGTATGTCATTGTTGGTACCCTTATTTCTTACATAATAATAAAGTTTTATGATTACTCTTTAGTAGTGTTTTTAATTTCTTTGACAAATTGATCTATTTATCCCTGCTGACCACCAGTGTGTTCTAAAGGAGCGTACACCGATAATTTAACCCTGGGTCTACTATGTTGGGATTGGAGATATTAATATGTGGGATAAGAGTATGATAACTGACTGTTTTGTACTTCCTGCAACATTGTGTTCTTCCATCATGGGTGATTTACAGGGAAATAAATGTTGTGTTCTATGGGATGGGTTGCACTATTGATCAGCTTCTGATCACTCGAAATCCAGCTATGAACACAGAGAAGTCTTAAAATAAAGACATTGGATTCCTCAGCACAAACCCTTTTTTTGTCTGACAATTGTTTGTTGTTATAGTTTTGTGGAAATATAAAATGATTTCATAAAAAAAGAAGAGAGGATAGCTGACTCTTGCTGTTATAAATAAGTCAGTAACTTGGCTGTGTTAAGGACACCCTGGCCCTTTCTCATTTCTCCAACTCCCCTCCTCGACTCCCCTCCTCGACTCCTATCCTCGATACTTAGTCCCGCCCACAGGAGATGCGAGCCGAGGAGCGAGGAGGGGAACCGAGGAGAGAGGAGGGGAAGCAGCAGGCGGTTAGAGAAATGAGAACTCCTCTCTGCGCGGTCATATTAAAGCGACGTCCGTTAATTATGACGTGGCAACAGCTGCATCAGCTTTGAGTGTTTTGTTAGAGCGCTGTATTTTGTAATCTCTGTTAGATCAGCTGAACATTGTTCCCCCACATATTTACTTTTAATTCAATTTGCAACAAGTATGACACGAATGTATGAGTATTTTCGACACATACTAGCATCTCTTCTGTATTGGGCAGCACTAAAACATTATTATAAAAATTACCCTACAAATAAAGGGAGACATATAGGCTACATGAGGCTTATGTACGTTTCATATATTAACACATGCACACATACAAACACACACAAAAAAAAACAATAACTGTCTATACACTATACTATAGGCTATGTTAACCTTTTTAAACTAGTAGGCTAAATGACATGATAAATCATCAACTCACACCTCTTTCACAAAACACCTGCTAATCCACGTAATTAACGAATCATGAGGGACCTGACAGGCTATATAAGGTCCAGGCACACCTGTGATTTAAATCTCAACAACGAAAAACATATTCAGTGACCACATGAAACAAATTGAGTCATGAAACCCGCTGTAGCATGTGCCTTACGGCAGTGGCAAAAACTTCTGACCAACAACAGGAATCAGGTGAGACGCCGATCCCAGCGCTGGAAAGCGAGAATGCGCAAAGCCATCCTGCTTCATCTTGAGGTATTTGAGTGTTCGATTACAATTGTTTTAAATAGTTGAAAAATAGCTGGCTTTTTTCATTGGAATACAACAATAGATTAATTTGTTATGACAGAATATGTATGTGCAGTTTAGTTTGATGGATAAAGGTATTGACCTGTACATTTTATTCTTCCTGCAGGTTCAACACCCACACTCATACAAAAGTTTGAACAGCAGTGTCCCGGTGCTGGAGCTGTACTTCGGAGATGGGTGCCTGCTGAAGGACTTCAGGATAAGCCGAGACTCCCTGAAGGCCTTGATGCGGTGTCAAGGAGAGGAGACAGGCCTGGGGTGTCCCGGGCCTTTCAGGTACCCCTCTCCACGGTCCACAGACTGGTCCACCAGCGAGTGGAGGACATCGCTGCTCTCAGGCAGTCTGTGATCAGGCTGCTTGCTGGTCCAGAGCTGGAAGAGGTCGGGCAGGGCTTCCAGCAGTTGGCCGATAGCCCGGCATTTAGTTCATGTGTGGGTGCCATTGATGGGTGCCACATTAGAATAAAGACCCCACCCGGACCCAGTGGCCAGGACTACATAAATCGGAAGCTCTTTCCTTCCATACAGCTGCAGGCTGTGCGATGGGAAGGGTAAATTCCTACAAACATTCGTAGGATTTCCGGGCTCAGTGCACGACACCCGTGTCCTAAAAAACAGTACCTTTTTTCCAAAGAGGCTCTGTACCCTCCACCAGGGTACTTTATTGTGGGAGATGGTGGCTATCCGTGCATTGTACACCCCATAACGGTCGTAACCCCGTATCGGGAGCCACTACAGGGGAGGGTACAGAGCCGCTTCAACGGCTGCCATGCCAAAGCGCGCAGCATCATACTGAAGGGGCGATGGAGGTGCCTCCTGTCGAAGGCCTTGGAGGTGAACCACACCTTTGTCCCTGCTGTGGTAACGGCCTGCTGTATTGCACAATCTCAGCATTACTGCAGACATGACTGAATTGTTGGAGGAGGAGGAGGAGGAGGAGGAGGAGGAGGAGGAGGAGGAGCAGGAGCAGCAGCAGCAGCAGCAGGAGGGGGTAGAGAGGTCTCCACCTCGTCCTGTGAGGGGGGAGCGAGGTGGACAGGGCCGGAGAGACAGACTGGCAGACCAATCTGGCTCCTGAACCCGGTCAGCTGAACGACCACGATTATTGTTGAGTAGGTATTTTTATTTATGGTCCTAGTTTTTTTGTTACCCGTTTGTTTCTTCACCGTATAGAAAATGCATTTACTGGCCAGATGCATTTCTCTTGTTCTTTTGTCGTCCTATTTATATGTCCTTATTTCAAGTTATTTAGAGCAAAGGACTTTACAGACCATATCTTTATTAACAAATTGTATGTAAATATGCCAGTCACACCAATCTCTCAGAAGGCTTACGTTTAGTGATTGAAATTTAGGTCATGTTCAGTGATAAAATATTGTTATGCTTTGACTGAACATTGAAAAGAAAGAAGAGACATGTGGTTGCAATTTACTCTATGTAGGGTTTGAGCTTACATGCATAACTTGCCTCAATTTAATGTATATATTAGTTTATAATAAATCATCCCTGATTATTGCATTTTTGGATACTTTACACACGGTTGGTTTATGCGCAGAATTATTTGAGGTGGAGATTTTAAAAAGCGGGGAATCAAGTGGGCCCATGACTTTCTGTTGGACTATGAGACAGTTATGCCTTGGGTTGCAAAAAACACTTTAAAACGTTGGCTTTTCAGTCAGGTCAACAATCATAAAATGTATATTCAGCTTTGTATAAAATAAGATCTCCTTTTATCTTCAGTTAAACATGTGTGTTTTCTGTATGTCTAATTGTAAAGGATAGGCTTCATGCTTGATGTAAAACCCTGTGTATATGGTGTTCGGGGTCTGGTGGGGACCCGTTTATTATTTTTCTAAAGAAAATTGATCAATTTATTTTCCCCAACTCACTTCAATGGCCTTGGCTCTGCATGTCTCCCTTGAAAAAGAGATCAATGATCTCAATGGGATTAATCACCTGGATAACATAAAGGATTTTTATTGAATTTTCTGGCCGAAGGAACAGATATCAGAACACATTTCCAGTGGACCACCTACTGTACCAACCCCCTACACCATTTATATTACATACAAGGGTGTTCGGGTCCCACCAACCCACGAGCACTTGCTGAATTAACAGAAATATGAAACACACCACATCAAGAGTTATAAAGCAATTAAAA